TGATTATTTAGACTCACACTGATGCTACAACTATGATAAATCAAATGTTAGTAAAACCTAATATTCATCTGTAATAGCCACGGACAAACTTTTCTTTCCACTCTCTACAAGGTTCTAACAGCAACTTTATGGTTCCTGACGTGTAGATGTAACATTTATGTTTCGAACAATGTTAACAGTTAGTTTTATTATTTGACTATTTAGACTCAAATTGATGTTACAACTATTATAAAATCAAATGTTAGTGAAATGTTAATCCAGAACCATAAAGTCGCTGTTAGCACTCACGCGTCAACAATGTTAAATCATTAAGAAACTTCTTCGCCATTTTTCAGGTTTCTTAGAAAAGTCTTCGTGATGAGTAGAAATTTTGGCCTTGAAATTCAAGCTCAAGGTCAATTTTTCAGCAGGTTCTTTACATGTATTTCCATCAAATCGAAAATGTAGATATTCGTCCACGAACAAACTTTCCTTTCCACCCTGTACAGCCTCTGTTTCTCACTTTCAGGGGCGTTTCGGCTCTACGACGTGGATAACGATGGTTTCATCACGAGAGAGGAGATGTATAATATCGTCGATGCGATGTACGAGATGGTGGTAAGTAACATCGTTCTGATGCGACGCGACACGACCTGTCGAAACCTGTTGTAAATCTTGCTTCATTCCGCACGCATGCGATGCTCCAGATACACGATGCTAATTCGAGATTCACTGCCACTTTCTTTGGCCTTAATATTCGTTATTACAACCATTCATTCACCAATTTAATTAACTGTACGAAAGAAGAGTAGAAAGAAATTGATAATATAGGATAATCCACAGTATAATATTGGTTATCAAATGTCAATTTTCAGCTCTTTTCTAGTAGTATTGTGTCTTTATCACAAGCCATAATGACTGTTCTTCTTGTTCGTTTCTACTTGAAAAATAAGGCAAGTACAATTGAACAGTCTCAAAACTTATCTCATCCAATGAACTGTAATTGACATTTTGCCAAAAAGTAATGACTTCTTCGGAATGCAGGGTGTTAATATAGTGTTCACAGATTAAG